TACGCAGTGCAAGCAGATATCGTTCAAGGGCTGAATCCACGATCGATTGACGTATTTCGTACGCTAAGCTTAGCGTGGTACGCGTTTCTTGGGCTATCAGCAAAGGCAGCAGAAGGCGTAGGGTTGGTAGGAGAGCAAGAGAGAAAGCGAAAACAGGCACTAAGCTGCCCAGACTACTCGACACGGCTACAGCCGCAGCTCCAGCCTCAGCCCAAGCACGAGACTACGCAGCAGCTAGCAGCAAAGAGAGCTAAGCTGACGCAGGCGTACTAGGCCAACACGCGTACAACGACAGAGAAGCAGCTTATAGATGCTATTCGCCAGGTACTATATATCTCTACTAATCAGCCAGTTACCTATAGATCGCCAGATCAGAAGTGAGGGCTAGACGCCGTCGTACAAGGCGTGAGTCCTCTTATCGTCGTTCTACCTACAGGGGGAGGCAAAACACTTCTACCTTTTACAGCTGCTATCCTTAATTATAGCCAGCAGATAGATCGGCTGAGCGTGACGATTCTCGTCGTCCCATTTCGGGCGTTAATTGAGGATATGCTCGTACGGCTTGCACAAGCAAACATTTAAGCTATTAAGTGGCAGCCAGGCGAGGCAGGCGAGCTACATCGTCGTAGTCGACTAGCTAGCGTGGTGGTTATAAGTACTAACCACGTTGGCAGCTCTAATAGCAGCTTTCTCTCGTACGCAGCTTTGCTTGCTCGGCAGCAGATTCTACGACGCGTAGTAATTAACGAGTGCCATGTAGCTATTACAGCAGACTCTTGGCGACCAAAGCTCGCGCGGCTTAAAGACTTACAGCTACTATCGTGCCAGCTAGTACTACTTACAGCTACGCTGCCTCCGTCGCTTGAAAGCCAGCTACAGCAGAGGCTGCTTATACCTACAGCTAGGATTATCCGAGTAAGAACCACGCAGCGAGCTAATACGCAGTACGCTGTCTACTACTGCTCGCGAGATCAGCTACTTGAACAAGCTGTACAGCAAGCGCGTAGGTTAATGAGAGAGGCAGAATAGGCTTATAGAGGTAGCTGTACGGTAGCTGTAGCTGCAGCAGCTATAGGAGACAGCTATACCAAAGAGATCGTGTACTGCCGCAGTCGTCAGCTTTGTGATAAGATAGCTACAGCGGTGGGCTATAGTAGCTATTACGCAGGTGTAGGTTCTCGTACGGCAATACTAGAGCAGTAGCGGCAGCGTGGTAGGCTAATTGTGTGTACGTCTGCGCTAGGAGTAGAAGTAGATATCGCAGGGGTAGAGTTTACGCTGTATATCGAACAGCCATAGAGCATGATTAATTTTGTGTAGGAGAGTGGGAGAGCGCGAGGGCAGGGTAAGGCAGTGGTGCTAGCAGTGGCAGAAGAAGAGCGGCGGCAGCGAGTATAGCAGCGAGTATAGCGAGTGTGGTAGAAGTAGTAGGTAGATGAGGTAGATAAGGTAGATAAGGTAGATGAGACGGAGATAGAGATAGAGATGGAGACGGAGATAGAGATAGAGATGGAGACGGAGACAGAGATAGAGATGGAGATGGAGATGGATGAGAGTGAAGAGATGGACGATAGCTAGGCTGTAGTAAGGCTAATACGGACGCGCGGCTGTTGGCGAAGGGTAATTAGTTGATATATGGATGGTATAGAGGCATCGTGTAGGTAGCTAGAAGAAGTAGCTATAGTAGATTAAGTGGTTGCGTGGTGCGATAACTGCAATTGACGTAGGGCTGGCAGTATGTAGGAGGCTATATAGTAAGAAGTAGTAGTAGAAGCTACTACTACTATGGTAGATACGAGCGGATAGGAAGCGTGGTAAGCAGATGCGCAGCTGTAGGCAGTGTAGGAGAGGGTCGTATGGGCGAAGCTGAATGAGCTAGCGTAGCAGATATGCCCGTACTGCTGGGGGATACTATACGAAATATTTGGTGGAGAGCGTAGTGTGAGGCGGATAGAAGAAGAGTAGGAGGCTGAGTATAGCATTTGGGAGTGCTGGTGGCTGATAGAGAGAGATGAAAGAGTATAGCAGCCGCTAGATAGTGTATGGTGGTGGATTCGCTATAGTAAGGAGCTAGATATATGCTGGAAATGTGGGATGATATAGAAGCTGTGCGAGTGGGAGAGCGGAGAGCAGCAGCAGCAGAAGTGTAGTTGGAATAACGTAGTAGTGCCGGTACTATATGGGCTACGGGAGGCGGCAGTAGCTAGAAAGTAGCTAGAGAGCGGTAGAGTAGATACTGTGATTGAATAAGGTGGGTTCAATATAGAAGTAGAAGAGAGTAGAGAGAGTAGAGAGAGTAGAGAGAGTAGAGAGAGTAGAGAGAGTGGAGAGAGTAGAGAGAGCAGAGAGAGTAGATAGAGTAAAGATAGAAGATTTGGGCAGTGGATTGGGTAGAAGCATAGTAGACGAGTACTAGGTAGAGTAGTAAGTAATGGTGCTGCAGTAGTAGTAAGGGCTATACTAGCAGAAGTAGTAGTTAAATAGCGTAGTAGTAGTAGACTTAGTAGTAGTAGAAATAGTAAATACTATAGAAAGTAAAGTTATATTACTATATATTTATATATATAAAAAGAAGAATAAAACAAAGTTATAACTAGTAGTAGTAGTTAAATAAAAAGAAAAAGAATAGAATAGAAAGTTAAAATAGAAAAGAGGGTTAAGAGAAGAAATGAAGAAGAAATTAAGAAGAAATAAAGAAGAACTAAAGACAAGATAGAGAAGAAATATAATAAGAATAAAGTAAAGATATAATAAGTAGATAAGAAGTAGATATAAAAATAGAAAAGGAAAAGATATATATAAAAGAAAATATATA